GAGAATACATTAAGCATGCAAAACGACAAAACAATCCAAAAGGAACGACAAACGATCCAAAAGGAATGAAAAACAAGCTAATATGAATGAAAAAATAATCGAAATTAAATGAAAAACGGTCCAATTTGAATGAAAAATGATCCAAATTCAATGACAACAACAAGGACAAAAACAAAACAAAATGATAAAAAAAAGTCCAATAATAATGGCCAAATCGAACGATCCTCCTTCATACACAAAGCCAGGGGTATACTACCCCATCACTACACTTGCGTACGTAACAACCGACCATACATTGTCAAATCGATTCGAAACGGGAGCCCTCAGCAAGAGAATGGATTCAAGAACCGCCTAAGCCAATCAAATCACGTCGTGTCGAATTTCTGCCAATCCAAACGATTGACTCGACTCTGTCCCTCCACATTGGGCAAAACCATATATATATATACTATTCGTTGTATTTTATACTTTGTTCAAGCTTAAATGTGGTCAAATGGATTCAAACGCTATTTGGTGAAATGACTTGCAAGTCCAAATTTGGGTGAAATGCACAATATATATATATACATATCCCCCCCAACGCAACATATCCACAACCCTAACCCTTGTGTCCCACAGTATTCCACTATTCTCCGCCTTGGCCTTATCACAACAACCTCCAAACAACTCTTGTCAACCCCCACTCAAGTCGAAACCAAATATTGTCGATTTGATACAAATTTGGGTGCAATCGAATCGCGCCGACCAAACCGATCCACAATCGATCTGATTGGTTGTTGAATTTCATTGAGAAGGTTTTGATTGGCTAATAATTTTGAGCTCTTCTGAAGTAGCCAATCAAATCGATTTCAATTCCAACGAGAAACACAACACAATGAAATTTCTCTCGAAATTGAATGCACAATAAATACCCTTCTTCTCACCTCCATGCGATACAAACCCCCGATGCAGCGGCACCATGGCAGCATGCTGCACGCGCTTCCACATATCAACAGCCTGCTGGACGATCGTGGGGGTCGTGCGGGCATTTTCAATGCGCCGCAACGCGTACGTCCGCCCATCCGTGTCGGAGAGCACCTTGTACGAGTGAGATGGGTACCCAAAGCTGCCTGCGACGTTGCGGTGCTGTGACGTGGTTGTGTCCAATGGCCACATGCACACAAACTGAGAAGGGATTTCCTTGTATCGTTCGTCTCCTGGATCAACCTGCCGGACCATTTCGTCATGCTGGGCGTCTAGGGACCGGCGGATTGACGGCGCCAACGCCAGCGAAGCCAGCGACCGCCGCGTAGCCACAATGGGCCTATCAATCATATATATATATATAGATAGATATATTCGAAACATGGGATGCAGCAAACAAGTCGACAAACTATCGATCGAGAATCGACCAACCCTAAACACGAATCAAGGGGCCCATCACACTCCTGCAACCATCCAAGAATCAGTATGTGTGAGACTTCAAATAGGGACGAATAATGGCTTATGTCGACGGTGATATTATATATATATATATACACAAAAGAAAAAAAAATGATATCTCAAATAGGGAGGAATAATGGCTTATGTCGACGGTGATATTATATATATATAGGTACACGACACCAACACTTACGAAGACGGATACGGCGCCGAATGAGGTGGATGGCCAACATGCGGCGAATAGTGAGAAGGGTAATGAAGGTGGTCTCCGTGGGTGTCGACATGTAGATGCGGAGGGTGCTCATAGGACGGGGATGGCGGCAACAACGTCGACGGCGGGATGGGCGGTGGTGGCACTGCTATACAAGGTACAACATACATTACCGAGTACATGACAGTTTTTCAAATTCCATGAGGTGAATTATTTATATTCCAAGCATATGTATTCTAAAAAGGGAGTAATCGACGAGTGATCATCATTTCACAAAGTGTTGAAATCACGACCAAATCGAACAAAGTAGTATTGTGCGTTTCAGTCAAATTGGCTGATTGATGAAATCGCCAACTACTCGAGCAAACGAATATGATTGGCTACAAAGAATGAAGGTTGCACTTTAATTGGCTAAATAGATTCATTGTAGTATTGCAGTCACAAAGATACTACTTTTTATATGAAATTTCGAACGGCCGACGGTTCATTCAACCAACCGCCAGGGAAATTTGTAGAACACACAATATGATTGGCTAAAAAGAACCCAGCTTTTGCAATATGATTGGCGAAAATGAATCGGATTAGATCATGTTTCGCAGGTCATATTTGAGGTATAACATACAATATCACAATGAAAAGTCGACAAAAGGAGAAAGGACATGTATACCTCCCGTCGCGTCGGCTTCCGGCACGAAGAAGATGCATCCTCCACGCGTAACCTAAATCAACATGGTTAGATGACGATACTGTCAAGAATGGCAAGGATATACCTGAACGAGCGGCGCGGACTCGGAAGGATCCGCGGATGAAGGAGCGGGTCGTTGAAGTTGTTGGGGCACGAAGGGGGCGGCGGTCGACGTCAAGTCGGACGCTGTCGCGAGGAGAGGCGACGACGTTAATGAACTGCTGCGCCGCGGAGCGCCACCTGAAGGATGGACGTGTTCGTTGATGGAGGAATCGAGAAGCATGGGAAGGAGTAGTTGTACTGGCGAGGGTCGTCAAAGGGGACGTGTAAACGGCCGCCGAGTGATTCGATCCATCATGCGCTACGACAACGTATAACGAAGGTTGATTCGAATCGGTCGACGCACCATTCGACGACTTGACGGGGGATGTGTACAATCTAGTCGATGGAGGTGTGAGCGTGCGCACCCAAGAGCAAGAACATCAAGTCGAATGAACACATGACGCGTAGAAGTAAGTCCAATGGACGTATGACGAGCACGTGTGCGATGACGATGGAGGAAACAGGCGAGACCTGGATGCAGATGCGATGCCGGTGGACGAGGTTGTGCCGTCTACGTCCACGTGTGTGATGCACACCATGACGCCATGCGCGAGGATGTCTACGTAGATGACAAGCACAAACACGTACCTCCATATTGACTAGCCCTACATCGAGCATGATGCGCGATGAGATCGTATGAAGATACATGCAGGAAGGGCGTACTTGTAGGTGTTGGACGTCGCCATCGACACCAGTATATCTATCTTGTGTGGCGCGTCAGAACAAAAACCGATACACATCACGGCGAGCTTTCATTGGCTAAAATGCTTTCCGTCCTTGCAAATGATAGGCTTCATTAAACATTTTATAACTTTCTGATTGGTGGAATTTCATCTCCTTGCGTTTCATTGGTCAAAAATAACAAACTGCATCTAGGCTGACGATCATGCAAGTGTTGATTGCAAGGCTAATACATGTGCGTGCATGCTTAATGCGTCTACGTGACGAGCTGGTGCAAGTGCAAACATGCAGAGGACACCCCCAACACGATATCACACTTGGAATAGACGTAGTTGTTGGGGGGGACTGTAATCATGTCATGATGAAGCTCCTGATCGATGCTACTGGGGAAGTGTCCTCATGCAAGACAAGGTCGTGGGACACCTACGCCTTGTGCGTCTCCTTGCGAGCGGCAGGGACCTTGAGCACGACCTTGGTCACATGTCCGTACATCAAGTTGAGCACCGCTTCTTTGTTCTTCTCATAGTCTCCCCTACAACCCACCACGAGTTAGTTAGCCGCATCCCCAAAGGGCAAACAACGCACTTCATCTTTTGGATATCTTGGTCCGTTTCCTTGTCCATGATGCTGGAATCGTCCCCCAACAACTACACGACACCTCCCATCAGCATTCAACATGGAGATATCAATGTACATCTGTGGAGTTCATTTGAAACACTTGATCTTGTTGACGACGGTACGCATTGATCTCTGCCTCCGCCTCGGCCTTGGCTTGCTTCAGTCGGTCCCCTCGTTCTACCATCATCGAGATGAGATGCATCCCAAGGATGGAGAGGTACCTTGTCGGGCCTCGCTGATGATCTTGGACGCCTTGGTCTCGGCCGTCATAAGCTCCTTGATGCTCTGGTTCGCCGCCATGATGTTGCGTTCACTGACTTGTCGGGGAAAATGAGAGGCGTATCCGATCGAGCATCCGGACAACTTGTCCGGATAATAACCCAAATGCACCCCTGATATTATGGACTCTGCTTGGCTGAAATTCAAATGCAAATCAGCCAATCATCAATTTCTATATTGAAAAAACAAACAAATTAACAGTAAAATGATACTATTAATAGTACTGGAGTAGGATTTAACAAGCTACATGTATTTGGTGTACAGTACATATACTACACAAAATATATCAATTTGATGCCAAGCAAGTCATGTGGCGAGTTATCTGCAATGGCAAGACTGCTCCTTGGGGCTGTAAGTTTCTTAACTGACTAGAACACTCGCACCAACCACAACTTCTTGACCGCAATTTCTGTAGCCCTATAGCCACTTACTACAGGTATAGTACACGTTACAATAATATTTCATTTCGAAGTCCACCCTTCCTTGGACCATCTCCCCTTCCGCTTACCTTTCGCGGGGGATATGATCTCCCGTCGTATCTTGTGAGGGAGATTTGGATTGGGACGAACGCGTTGTTGTGGCAGTGGGGGGTGTTCTGGAACTTCGTTTTGTCACTGTGGCAGGCGCATCTGAGCCGGGGATATACATAACTTGGTTGGGGCAACCCTGTTCAATGCACTGTCTCCGATAGCGATGCAACGGCGCAAGCCCACGGACAATCGGGTGGTTGCAGTCGCAGAGCGATGTAGAGGGGTTCTGGAGATCGTCGACTGCTGAACTTGTCGAAGGAAGACATGATGATGATGCAAGATGGTGATTCCCTTGAGCCACTCGACACGTCAAGATGACAATTGCAATGGAGGGGACGATGGGGGGTACACCAGCAGATGTTTGAGGGTGCTGTTGCTCATGACGGATGCCACTGTGAACGATCAACATATGTCACCCGAGCTAGAAGGAGTTTAATTCGATTATCTTGTCCTTCTACCGGTATGCCTCGAAAACTTCGAGCATCTCCACTCGTCGAGACTTTGAACAAAGAGTAGATGACGTTTTTGTGTTGCAGGAGTACCAATCGGGGTCGCCCGAACATACTGCGCCTTGCGATGATGGTGTATGATGGTAAGAAGTTGAGTCCGACGCAACAGCAGGTGGTGAATTCTCGATGATGTAAATGTACTGGTTGGAACTACAGTCTGTACGTCATTCAATAGCCCAACGCTCGGTACCAACGACATCAACACGACTGGCGTTAACAAAATAACGAACTCCGGCGGCAGGTGCACTGTCCGTTTCCGATATGAGGACATTTGAGAATGCAAATACTGCAATCATCAGGTAAAAAGGTATTAGAATCCTGTCGGGCTATCAAACCTCCCACCTTATCCTGGACATCGTCTCTCAGGATTCGGAGGGTTTAGATGGCGTCAATAACTCCCACTGCACAAGTCAGCGTTAGAGTACGTAGTATGCCTACGACACTTGGTTGATTGGATCGTTTGGTAAATAACATTAATGGGGGGTGTTAGAGTTCTATTGGGTTGAGTCGGGTGGAATTTTGTCGTGGCATCGCCATGGCTTTGTTGTCATGGTTGCTCATGTCGGTTCCATACATTGCCATGGGGGGGGGTAGTATGTGGTCTTTGGGTGGTTCGTGGTGCTCTGGTGCTTGCATCGACGTGACGCGGTCCACTGGTACGGCGTCCCTTGCCGCGAGTCGGTGGGGTGTCGATAAGTACTGTTTTGTTCGTTCGTGGATGCACACGACCGAGTTTTCGTGCGCCGTGCAAAAGGCAAAGTGTCTGTAAACAAAGGGATCGTTAAAGGACATATCGTAGTATGATGTAGCCGAGCAAATCGTACCGTTTGGCTTCGGAATGGCAGTGTGGCACCAAACACTTGATCCAGCCTGTGTGGTGGTAGCGGACTTTGGAAATGGCGACCCATCGACGGTGCTGCTGCTGGGGATATGGTCCAGGTGTTGAGCTGCTGGTTGTGTTCCGTGTGGATTCGTAGCTGGCTTTAATTGGCCCACTAGGTGTTGCCCCAGCTGGCAATAGCACCGACGGCCGAATGGCCACGGCGGGACTGGCGGTGTGGACGGTGTTGTTCGAGTTACTGGCTGGGTTTGTCGTTGGCATTGCCGTGTCTGTTGCGCTAGCCGAAGCCAGCTCCTTGGCGGCCACTCTAGCCGCGTCGACATCTCGCATGTGGTAAAGACAACGTCCGTCGATCTTGCTGTAGCGGCGGCACGCCTCGACGCGACAGGGCCGGGGCATGGTCAATGAAAGAATGGCCACAATGAAACACCCACAAACTCAAGAATATCATCGAGCGTCGAAACAATCCACCAAAGGTCGCATTATTGGAGACGACTCTTTGAAACGACGATCAAGAACGATTGGGTTCTCTGTAACGGCATATCCGTAAAGATACAGCCGGCGGCGAAAGGTCGCGTGAAAAACCAACAAATAGGGCCCACAGTTTCAATGCCTTGTCCGTGTGGTGGTTGACAGGTGTGTCTAGTCAGTTCCAAACGACGTCATGTTCAAGTGTCATATTGTCCTTTTACCCAAAATTTGGACTTTTGTGCTGATTCGCCAAATCTATCGATTGAAGTATGTCAAAATGGCCGAGTGCCACAGTAATTTAAATCCCAGACTTACTGTAATTCGATGTTGACTTGGTCGAAGAGTTGATTTGATTGGCTACTTGATTCATATTCTGGGGGTTGATTGGTCGATCAATTGCCTGCCGATACTCCAATTTCGATTCGACTTGACAACAGTAAAGATTAGCTGATATGGATGCAGGGTAAAAGCAAAAGCTAAGTGTTGCTCAACCTACTAACAGTACTAGTAGGAGTGACCATGATTGCGCTGTCTCGAACGAATATGGAAATATCATGACCCTTCATGCCACTATTGTATGCATGCATACTTGCAGAGACTACCAGGAGTTATAATGTTTGGGCTATTTCCAGATCATACAAGGACTTCAGGGTAAACTTGTTCACTCGTGTCCATGGATGTTGGCCAAGTTACTCGACAACACAAACAAAGCAGACGTTATAATCAAAGCTATAACATGCACAACTATGGCTGCTAGGTACTGTAGGCTTGGAATGTACAGCGAGGTATTTAAAATGGCAACAACGCGACTGCACGTCGGTTTTGTCGATGATGGCCTAGCTTATGCCTCCGCGCTCGTCCCCCGCGACTTGTCTTACCAGACGACATCTCTTCAAGAAAGCGCAGCACATGCAGCTGGTCGTTGGATGCTGCTAGTGTCGTGGCTCGTTGCCAAGTCGGGGTCGACGGAAGCAGGAGCTGAGGGTACGTCTGGACGAGCCATCGAAGGATGTGCAGGTGGCCATATCGAATGGCGACGAACATCGCATCTACGGTCATCCACGACGCCCCACAACACGCAATCCATCGCTGCACCACGGACAGGCTGCCTTCGACCACGGCACTGTGCAACGGGAATCGCATGTCGGGCACAAACGCATTCAAGAAGAACGTAATGCCGGCAAACACTTGTAGACCCCCGACTTCGAGCGTTGGAACTGATGTGTACCGAGGTGGCAACGTGTACTGGAGAAAACGCAGTCCACTTGGGATGGCAGACGCTCGAATCTTCTGCCACTCGCAGAAGCGCGGCACGAGATCCCCGAACATCCCGCGTTGATACGCCTGGATCGCACGGAACAGGTTCGCGTTCAACAGCACGGAGAGAAAGGGATGTGCTACGGTGTCACTCGTGGCCATGTTCCTTCTTGGTAACTGGACGACGTGAACTGTGGACGCTACCGCAGCAGCCAAGCGGACCGAATGAGACAATTTTCAAAAGTAAAGAGCATGTCATGAAATTTCGTTACTGTATTGTAAGGGTGTGTTCAATGACGCCAAATATTCGCATATTTCGGCCAAATGTGGATACTTCAGTGGATATATCCGGATATTCAGTACCACTACCGTAGTAATGCATACTACTAGACTACCGCTAATATACTACTGTCCTTATTGTAGTACTCCGATATGAATTCTAGGTTGTTTTGATTCGCTATAACACCCTGAATTCGATTCGAATTCAGGGTAACTTTAGGCAGTAAACAGCATCATGCAAGTGCTAAAAAATGCTCGACGATTGTGTTTCCCTGAGTAATGTTAGTTGGCTTGTGGATATTGTTTTGAATTGGTTATGCAAACTATATCTATTATAGTAACAACCGTAACCATAAAGTAGGTGTGAAAAATGTTTGATTGGTGAGACTAATTTAATCACAAGGTCCTATCTATAGCATTTTGCTGTGTTTGTGTTTTACCTCGAACGACGACACATGATTCAACATAAATATATGAATTCATAGGACATGACAACACTACTCCAATGTACATCCATCACAACCAATCGGGCCAAGGGTGTGGGCCGACCCATGTAAAACTAGCATTTCTCCCAGGGTTGATTCAATCGGTGAACCACGCGTCAAGTTTCAGGGTTCAGCAACGCTGCAATGTTCATGGGACTGTGGAAAACGTTGATCGGGGCAGTCGTCGCGGGTGCTGGGACGGCGGCGGCTACAGTCACATTCAGGTCCGCCACCGACAGGTACGCCGTCGGAGACTCGCAAGTGGACAATGGCGGCGATTGTGCCGCCACCGCGAAGTCTTCCGAGTCGGAGTTTGAAAGGGCCGACGAGGTAGACGACGAGCTTGAGCTGCTGGAATGGCTGTGGTTTGGGTGCACCACCGGCGTGGGGTTGGTCAGGTTTTCTTGCTTGACGCGCTCACGGTACTCCTTAATTCGGTCCTTGTTCCGGACATAATAGGCCTTCATTTGAGCTCGCTTCTTTTCCCGATTGCGAGCGTCCCACGCCTTCTTTTGAGCGGCAATGCGCTCCTTGTGCAGTTGGCTGTATTCCTTAGCTTGGGTGATCGCCTTGGCTTTATTACGGTCGTACCATTGCCGTCGACTTTGGGCTCGCTTGGTGGTGTCAGTCGTATCATGGTTGTTTTCCATCGCTTTCTTGGTGGGAAAAGGATGTACTAGTAGTGGTGGGGGTGCTTGGGTAAAAGGCAAACTGACCCGAACAACTAACTTGGTTTAGAGCGGAATGTCCGGATACGGTGATTGATTTACGTCGGAACCTCGTGAATTCAAGCACAATTCAGGCGGATACTTGGGTGTGCATCGAATATACGTATATTATGTAGCCACCGAAAATGAAGCAATAATACGCAAGCATCCATACTGAAATCTAGTACACCCTCGGCGCGTTTTTGCATAAACCCTCGAGATTGCTTAGAAATACTAAATTTAGTTGCTGTACGAAACAGGATAATTTGACCTTGCCATCGAAAAAACCAAATTGCATTGCTGAAAGTTTAGGCACAGAAACACCCGCCACTGACTTCCAACGAGGACTTTCACTGTGACAACGTTATCTACCGTTGTCACAGTGAAAAACCACTGTAGTACACAATGAACGTGATAATTCGAACCCACAAACCAAAGCGTGCCATATCACTTTGCAACTCAGCTTAGCTTGTTGGGATGTTCGGACAGGTGCTAAATGTTGAGGACATGAGGTAGAGTTACACGACCGAAGTACTCCCATGTACTATTAGTAGCATGCTACATTGTGAGGTACAACAATGTAGCAGTTATCGCGCAGCACGACGCAGTGTTCACATCGTACTTTCTGGACTTGCCGGGAGGTTACGCCAGTCAAATCTCGTACGCCATGTATCGATGATATATTGTACGCAGTCCTTGTGCACTTACACCGAAGGCGTTGTTCTTAACGTTCTGTGGCTAACGGTTTACATTATGGTGAAACTAGGTGCTACAGTACTAGTAATTCGGTACTATCAGTAGTTAGTGTTTAGCTCATAAAATCGCGAGGAACGTTTTACGGAGGTTCGAATTCACCTACCGTATAGTGTATATGTACAGCGATAGGTGATATGTCACAACCGGCCGACGCTCGTTCTCAAAATTTTGTTAATCCATTGCGTCATACTGTATGTACTGTACAAATTTGAAGTACCGTGACGCATCTGTGATTTGCCGAAAGTTCGGTGATTTGCCGAAGCTGCACTACCCAATAGAATTCAAGAATTGATATGATTGGATAAAATAAAAGCCTGCAACATCTTACACCTTCGAAATATTATGATGGGTATAGTACTATTTTAAAGAGGGTATCACCTGTTTTCAAATCAAGTATGACCTGTAAAATATTATTACTGCATACATATAATATTGATCTATAAATAAATAATTTTGTTTCGACGAAGCTGTAATCTTCCAATACTGAATTCAAGGTCAAATATCGGCAAATCACCGATCGCCTGTTTGAGCGCCTAACTTTGACATTTTATTTGCCCTGATTCAAACTCTTGCACCTGATTTGTATTCGGATTAGTACTACTAATAGTAAGCCATCAAAATTATTATATGATGCACGTCATATAAAAACTTCCAACTGGCCAAATCGAAGAGTGGAGGTTATATTTTGTTTAACGTAAATTAATGTAGTTAAACCCAAAAACCGAATACGTTAAATACCGATTTCATGCGTTTTATCACTGCAACTTTTACGCGAGATAATTTGAACTTCGCCAGATATGGTCGATTAAATGGAGCTCAAAATCGGCAAATCACAGATCAGTCACGTTATATTCAACATATTCACAAGTAAATACTTGGAAGTACTGTAGTACTGACAATGAAGAGGAAACTTGAAAATGGTGATTGAATTTACTGTAAGCCACACCGAAGCTCGTCAGAATATTGCTGCATAAGGCACCATTATAAAAACAGAATATAAAGTTTATCTTGAATTTTGTATTGAAAGTACATATTTTGAATAAAACCACGTTGCATGCTCGAAAAAATGCCCCATCCAAAGTTGCTCTGCAGTTACTTCAGTCCTATCCGGATATGTATCCGGATTTCGTCTTTCCCACGTCACCCTTCTCAAACCTGTTGTCGCTATCATGACGCATCGCTCGATGGTCCATCAGGCGCTGGCGGCGATGCTTGTACTCGTATGCTGCATGACGCTGCCCGTCGTCGACGGCCTCAAGCAGAAGTGGTCGTTCACGGAGGAAACGCGGCGGCAGTTCCTCATTGAACGCTTCGGGTTCGATGTCGGCGGGCACATGGATGTCCAAGTCGAGATCCCACACTTGTCGCAGGCTCCGCGGAGCAGTCTTCTCTTCGTGCATGTACGCTCCATGGAAAGTCTCGTCACGTTCGTCCTCACCCTCTTCTGCATGTGTTGGATCAATCTAGGAGGACGAACTCGTGGAAGACGCCGCGGCATACTTCACGCAACCATACAACGAAGACCTGTGTCTCCTGGACAACCAGACGGCGACTGACCGCATGGACTTTGCCGACAACACGACGTGGCATCTGTCGCACACCGTCGCTACCCCCGGCTTCTACTATCTCCTCTTTGCCCACTGCGGCGACACGGACACGAGTCTCACGTTTTCGGTATGCCGCACTTCAATCGCGTCATGTTGATGTCGATGGAACGCTTCGATTTCCAACATTATATCGTGTACTTGCATCATCTTGATGGACATTTGCGACCTTTTCACATCAGTTTTATAGGCATTAGACAGTGTCATTTGGTTTTATTAGCATCTATTATCTATCGTTTATGACCTATCATCTATTATCTATTATCTACCTTTTATGACCTATCATCTATTATCTATTATCTATCGTCTATGATCTGCGGCGTTGTGTTTTTATTATTATTGTCTTTTTTCCTAAAATTTGGACTACTTTTGTGCTGATTCGCCAAATCTTTCGATCGAATTTTTTGTTTGACTTTTGGATGTCAAAAAGTGTCCTGTGGTGAGTTGGAATCACACTAATTGAAGTCACACACTAATTCGACGTTGATGACGGTTTCCTGCATGTATCTGATTTGGTTGTGTCGATTCTTTATTCTCCATGTCGCTCCAGTGTAGAATAAACACAACAATATATATATATATATATATAAATATATATATGAGCTCCGACGGTTCCTTTATTTTGTAGATGGACGCTAGCTTTTTGAACCCAAATGCCAACTATTTGTCGTCGGGAGATGCGCTTGTTCCGTTGATTTACCTCTTGACGAGCGTTATATTTGGGACTGGCGTCGTCCTCTGGGCTCGAACCCTGCACCGAAATGCCCTGCATATTCACCATATCCACCACATGATGACTGGGTTGCTGCTGCTCAAGGTACGACTACTGATATATTTTTTGTCTTCAGAACTCTGATTTTAAATGGCCATACTGTACCATATCTTTTACGGCTACTGTATATATACATATATACCTTGTACTGCAATGTCATCCTGTTATGGTTGGTATGGCATACTATATAACACGTGAATACAAAAAATGTTGAAATATGAAAAAGAGATGGTAATGAAATATCCAATTCTTGAAGCAAGGGGAATCTTTTTAATTACATTTCATCACATGATGCACGACGCATACGGTAGTATATACTTTTTATATATATTTTTAATATATCAATCAGAGATTTTGATTGTTGTGGTTTTGTGATCGATATTCTTTTCTCAATGTGGGGGCGGTCATATCCATAAGTAGTTTGTATGTTTTCCCACGTAGCTATACGACATATATTGGGGTCAACTGTCCCTATTGGATATATATAATTTCTTATCGTTTTATTTGGACTTGTTCAAAATTCGATCAATTGACGGTCGTACCTACTGCATCTTTTCAATCCCATGTCAGTTTTGTGATGTCACTCCTCACAACTACCCTAATTGGTTTGGTGCTGTACTCTGGTCCTTTTATCGTTGTATCCCCACAATATAATATATATATATATAAGTAATATATTGTGTTTCTGTAGGTGGTATCGACGTTTTGCGAATCGATGCGGTTCTTCTACATGAAATCCCACGGCGACACTTTAACATCGTGGAACGTGGTGTTTTACATCTTCATGTTCCTCAAGGGCATGGCTATGTTTGTGGTGATTCTGCTCATCGGCACGGGATGGTCCATCTTGAAGCAGCATTTGAACCGCACGGAAAAGCGCATTGTGTTTGTCGTGCTTCTGTTGCAGGTATGCAGTATTATACACAATCTATTAATGTATATATATATATATATATTATGGGAGTGCATGATCTTTTTTTCCCTATGTCTTCCAAGCAAATATGATGGGTTCATATCCAAACAGAACTTGGTATAATAAAATTCAATAATATATTTAGATTCATGAAAAAAGAATCTGAATACGCTATTACATATATATATATATTACAATATGTGTATTGTAGATAATGTTGGATATATATTTATGTGAATCATTTGTTGGATATATATATTATTGGGTACTATAGTTGGATCAAATGAAGTGTGGCGTTGTCCTTGTGGATGTATCGTGTGTATATTTATTTATTTTTGTTGGAAATACGAATGTATTTTGAATTATTACATTTTGAATACAGGATAAAGTTTGACCTAGATAAACGGTGGTTAATGTCAACGTGGTTTCATTTTGTTGACCGGTAGTGGTATATATTGTGGATTCATGCAGTACCATGTAAGCCCAGGTGGCTCATTTTAAAATATATTTCTATCCCAGATTGAAATCGTTTACGTTTTATACTATATTTGTATCTCAGATTTATTAAATTCTTTGGATCGCTTAGTATTTCGGTTTTGAACGAGTAATATCCGTATCGGTGAAATTGAACTCTCAGTACCTGCTATTGCCAATCGATTTAAGTCATCGTTTTTAGGCTCATTCCATGTACATACATATATGGTACACAAATATAAACATTTTTTAATTAGTGAGAGAACCAAACATAGCTATAACACCTCCAATTTTATGTCCAACTATTCCGATCGTTTATTTTCATTCGTAAAAATATATATGTTTGGCTAGGATATTAGTCATAAAATATCCATGTGCCAACTTCATTTGGAAAACCTCTACGTTGGACCTATGGGACCATAATATACTAAACTAGTTAATACAATATATATATGTATTTATATATATTTGTGTGTGTGTTTAGGTGGCAAACAACGTTGCCGTGGTGGTTCTGCAAGAGTCGTCTGTGGGGACACAAGCGTGGGTGCGCTGGCGTGATGCGATGCATTTGCTTGATATTTTGTGCTGCTGTGCGATTTTATTTCCGATTGTGTGGAGTATCCGCCAACTTCGTGAAACGGCCCAAGTTGACGGCAAAGGTATGACGTTGCTCATACTTTATATCGTGTAACTTGCTCATATATGACGGTAGCCCAAATCAATTTACGCAAATTGACGCAATTCAGAGGCTTTTACGTGGCCGTGGTCACGTATGTGTACTTTACCCGCATTGCGCTATACCTTTTGGCGGCAAGTTTACCGTATACTATGGTACGTTGCTGAGTATAAAACAGAGTCTTTTGTATCTGTTTATGGGGCGATTTGATATTGGCATAAGGAAGAATATATATATATATATTACTGAATGTTGTGATGGTGGTTCACTGGACAATAAATAATAATCGTATATGTGGTGTTGTAGACGTGGGTGACAGTCGCGGTAGCGGAGGTGGCTGCGTTGGCATTTTACGCTTACACTGGGTACGTTCTAACTTTTATAACTTTTTGTCGAAATGAGTTATGTATCTAGAATTATAGAGATTACCAAGACAATCACACTATATTTATTCGTATATGTTTGTAGTAAAAAATTTCAGCCCCAAACCGCGCATCCGTACTTGGCGTTGCACACGCAAGTGGATTTGGTACGAATCCATCTTATTATAATTGATACTCGAGATGTATATATATATATATATATTATTGCTGGTTTGTGCTTGAATTCTATAACTTCTATCGACTCGTATGGCTTTGAAAGATGGTGCTAACTTCCGCTTGCATGTACAGGTAGGTAGGTAGGTGTACTGTATTTGACATTCGAGTTGAATTTATATACATATATATTATTCATCTATTGTGCGAGAATTCCATACCTTCGAATGGGTGGATACTGCATGTATTTTTACATGTATATTTTCTAGTTGACATGTGAATATATATATTTATTTATATTCTTGCTGGTTTGTGCTTGGACTCGATATATTATATGTACACAAATATCATTGAAACATAGTGCTAACATTATGGATGTATAGGATGAGTTTGGACTGGACGACAACGAAGACTTCGACGTGAGCACTCGCGACCTCAGTCCTCGCCGTGGAAATCCCACTGGGGCGAGTTCCACCAAGTCTGTTGTTAACACCACACCGCACTTTCAGCACGTTTAACTAACTACATTACCTCGGTTCACTTTAGACTGGGATAAATATACTACTACTAAAATGCTATTACTAGTATTACTACTCTTCATACCTCTCGAAGAAGACTCGATCCTTTTAAAATAATCACAAGAGTCATTAAGAATGGTCAAGTGGAACGTTTGTAGACGACGTCACATTTCCCAAGTGTCCTCAATTCCAATCCCCTTGTGAATCTCTGTACTTAACTGCCACGTCACCGTAGTAGTACTAGTGTATACTAATAGTACCCCCTTGACAAAAAACGACGAGCAACTTGCATACTTCCAGTTGTTATCAAATCCATCCAATCGCTCGCGTGTCGATTCCTGGTAGTATTACTAGTACGTATACTATTAATAGTAGCCCAGAATGTGACAACCTACGCTGCTAGGTAGGTTACCATGTTCGTGCCAACCTCCAATTGGAAACAACGATACCAGCAGTACACGCTCCAGATTTCCTGTATAACGTTACTAGTAATAAATCCACTTGACCTATCTGTATACTAGTAGTAAGTGTACTACGTAGCAGATCGATTACCAAACTAACGATATAAACAAGTACTAATTACTCGCATGGCACCAATACTGAATACTAGTCATACGTGCTGTGACCACGGACTAGACTTTATTGATGAGTCTTGTTAAAGTACGCCTTGGACCCGTTGGGGTCGGCGACCAAGGTGGCGGCACCGGGGGTCCATCCCGCGGGGCACACTTCGCCGTGCTCGTCCGTGTACTGGAACGCCTGCACGAGTCGAAGGATTTCGTCCACGTTGCGGCCCACGGGCAGGTCGTTCACGGTGATCTGGCGCAGGGTGCCCTTGGAGTCGATGATAAAGAGGCCGCGGAAAGGCACGCCGGCGTCGTCGCCATCTTCGATGAGCACGCCATAGTCACGCGCGATCTTCTTGGTGATGTCCGAAATGACCGGGATGTTCATGGGCCCGAGGCCGCCGTCGTTGCGGGGGTGGTTGATCCACGCCAAGTGCGAGAACTTGGAGTCGCACGACGCCGCGAGCACCACCGTGTTGAGCTTTTCAAACTCGGCCACGCGATCCGAGAACGCAATGATCTCGGTCGGGCATACAAACGTAAAGTCGAGCGGGTAGAAGAACAAGACCACGTACTTGCCCAGAAAGTCGGACAAACTGATGTCTTCGAACTCGCCGTTGACGACGGCGGGCGCGGTGAACGCGGGCGCGGGCTTGCGGATCGTGGCAACCATGGGGGCTAACGTGAGGATTGGGAAATGACAAGTCAACACGGGGGAGACGAGGGGGGATTTGGAGGAAGGTACTAGGTACTGTACTGTAAGTATGTGGTGGTGGTGTTGTGAGAGACGCACTGACTACAGTACAACTAGGTGAAGAATATAGCACCAGGACTGACTGGATCTGGTGAATAACAGGATCGAATCGGACTGTATTACTACTACGCAGTATACTAGTACAGTGTATCGTTGGAGTATATTGCTGATATAGTTCGTCAAAATGGTGACATGTTGGGTTTCCTGCGATAGGCGATTCTCATGAGGTTGTTTGGCGGTTGGTGTGAAGGTTCGAGAAGGGCCTTCCCTGGAAAGGCGACACCGTGGATACATTTTCCAAGTCAAGATCCTTGATGACTTGATTTGAGTATGCTGGCTTTTTGAGTTGGCTCAGAATATGGCACCCTCATGTAATATTCTGGACACGATGATCGAATCTGACAACGGGTATACATACAGTGTATACTATGAGTAGATTTATGATATTTGGTCAAACTCACACGGTAGCTAATGAATATGGTGACATGTTTGGTTTCCTGCGATAGGCGATTCTGGTGAGGCAGTTTGACGGTTGCTATGAAGGCTCGCGAAGGACCTTCCCTGGAAAGGCGACACCCAGTACCAGTAGTTGTATTCACAATCAACACTTGGATACAATTTCCAAGACAACATCCGTGGTGGCTTGATTTGAGTATGTTGGCTTTTCGTTAACTTGCCGAAATGGGCTTATCTACATGAGCAGCTTGGAAAGGGTAGAGCTCTAAGCTAAAGCAAGCCCACTGCCGTTGGTTTAGCTCCAGGTAGGTTTCAGTTCCACTTGCATTAATCCGTTGAACCCAACAAGCAACGCGGCCAGCAATTTCCACATGGTTGCGTTGAATTCCTCCGAATTCATCGCCAACATAGCTGAATCGAAGTCGAGTCTACATTCAGGGGTTTGATTGGCCACTAAACTTCGAACTTCGATACACTTGACGATATGATTGGCTCCAAGAACCAACTTTGGTGTGTGGACTTCGTGCCCAGGCAACTCATAGTTTATCCTAACTTCGTCGCAATCACTGTCAGTATCAGCATTATTATTCGAGTAGTAGTATGGTTGCCACGATCCGCAAGCCCGCGCCCGCGTTCACCGCGCCCGCCGTCGTCAACGGCGAGTTCGAAGACATCAGTTTGTCCGACTTTCTGGGCAAGTACGTGGTCTTGTTCTTCTACCCGCTCGACTTTACGTTTGTATGCCCGACCGAGATCATTGCGTTCTCGGATCGCGTGGCCGAGTTTGAAAAGCTCAACACGGTGGTGCTCGCGGCGTCGTGCGACTCCAAGTTCTCGCACTTGGCGTGGATCAACCACCCCCGCAACGACGGCGGCCTCGGGCCCATGAACATCCCGGTCATTTCGGACATCACCAAGAAGATCGCGCGTGACTATGGCGTGCTCATCGAAGATGGCGACGACGCCGGCGTGCCTTTCCGCGGCCTCTTTATCATCGACTCCAAGGGCACCCTGCGCCAGATCACCGTGAACGACCTGCCCGTGGGCCGCAACGTGGACGAAATCCTTCGACTCGTGCAGGCGTTCCAGTACACGGACGAGCACGGCGAAGTGTGCCCCGCGGGATGGACCCCCGGTGCCGCCACCTTGGTCGCCGACCCCAACGGGTCTAAGGCGTACTTTAACGCTCAAAACAAGCGCAAGGCGCATTGAGGAACGAAATGAAAGCAAGCAAGGATAGACATAATACGATGGCTTATTGTGTTAATCTGTCGAAACTGCCACGATTTGGAGAATTATCTCATGAAAGGTCGACACTACCAAATGGAACCTCCGAACACGTGGCAGAATGATTTAGCTGGCAGGAATCGTACATTGTGTGCGTGGGAATTGTGGACCCGAGCTAGGAGGGCTCCTGGTGTATGTAGATAGATGCCAAGGACCAGAGAGGAAACCTGGCAGAGAACTAGCGACCATGGGTGAGTCGTACTTAGTGTTCGATCAGGTGTAAATAAGTCGACGCATTCCCAACTGAGCCAAAAGAACTCAGGTACACTACGTAGTAGTCCTAATGTACCGATAACCATGACTTAAGAGGTGGTTGGCACTTGGTGAGTCGGCTTTGCCTGATATACTGTAACGTAGTCCTGCCCTCGGTGGCAACTTTCAAACTACTACCGTCATCGTATGGTTCGACCTCCATGCAAGTCTATTTATAGCCCTCGCTTGTGGCAATAGGACCCGTCACTGCTAGTTGGTAAACAGACTACATACTTTCCTCTCATTTTGCCATGCTCGACATGGCCACGTCCTCAGCGCCGAGTTTGGGTGGTCGGGTGGTGCCCAAGGTAGCCAATCCCGTCACCATGTGAATCACAGTTGTGGGCTTGGTTGTAGAAGAAAAAGAAGCCGCCATCGTCGGCCGATGTCCAGCGAAAGGCGGCGCTGTACAACTTGGGCTCGCACCAGAGTTTTCCGAGCACTCGAAAACCCAAACATCGACATCGGCTAGCTCTGCAGCAACTTCTTCGCGAGGACCAGTCTTCGTCAGCCGCGACTGGCGAACCAACGGCACAGTGCCAGGTACGTACAGAGGGATAGTAGTAACCTCCATGGATGGACACACACCCACGGCGTGTATGTAGATGGGCCGCCCCGAGGCGGCGCAAGTGGGGTTCATTCGCGATTTGCAAACTACGGTACCCGAGATACCCCGATCGAAGGCACGCCGAAACGCTCGTGGAACCACCGCCGAGTGGAAACTCGGCCGAAGCAACTCGACGTCCAGGTAACTCTTCTAGTATAGACCGTAGGATGGACTATATAGCAGTAATATGAGGCTATGATGGAGCTTTCGTGACTGAGGTCAGACCTATACTATGTAGTACCTATACAACTTTATGCAAGTGGTATACTAGCAAAAAATTTATCGACCTGATTGTATATATATATACGTACAGCGTGTGTGATGTGGTGGTGTGTGATTGTGTTCCTATAAATTGAGGGTCAGTGGCATACTAGGATGTATATATTTGGCTGTGATGGAATGATTTGTGTCACTGCGCTGCCCACAACTTGACCACTTCGTGGTGGCTTTTCATGCTAGAATGACTGATACAAGTAAAACACAAATTGCTGTGGCCTATGGCACTGATAATATGTATGTGTTGGTTGTGTTGTAGCTATAAACTCAGTGCCAGTGGCATCGACGGGATGCTGGAACCCACAGACGCTGCGAGGGAAGTGTTGGCGGTGACGTGCCCCACCTCTGAATTCAGCAACCTCCTCGTCGCATACCCCCCAGCGGCCGTACGTTTGTCCCATTAATCCCATCCCTAATTCGCCATGCCAGGTCGCAAGCGTGGCCAAGGCATTGGCCGATCCAGCGCAAAACTGGGTCAAACCTTGCATCAGTCGTCCTGGACAGTCGGCCCATAACAGCGACACCCCCGGCGGGTGGCAAAACACAACAAAGCCCGGTGAACAACCAGTCGACAACAACCATGCCAAAGCTGAGCCATGGGCCCCCCCTACTTTTCCCCATCGAATTATTACCACCTCCCCTGGGCCCCATAAAAATCCCCCCTCGAATTTGAATCCCACCCCCCTGCGACGAGACAACAAAGCAGGGGGAGGGGTCCCCACTTACACCTTGCCCACACACACCGTGGATACGTTTCTACGACAAGCTCAAAAAGCAGGTGTATATATATATTCTATGTGATCGGCTTGGAATGGACCGAGAATATAATATAATTGTAGAGCGCAGCTACAATGCACTGACTGCTCGCGTGAATGCCCACAAGAACCCAGCGCTCATGTACTCGCTTCCCGTTGCCACGTATGTGTATACACAAGCAATAGTCGGTTTGAACTCGATATATGAGAGTTTTATGGCAATGTATATGTGTGTGTATACATGCAAATCATATGGTTTCATAGGATCAGCTGGAATCTAATTATCGGGATGATGTTTTCGCTGTCGTTGTTGTTGTGATGATGATGTCAATATATATTTTTAACATTTATTATGTTTTCATAACTATTAGGCCGTCACGGAGCTGCCGACTTGGGCTGGAAACCCTCGCCTCGGATCTGACGGCGGATTCTCGACGGTCTTCTCGACCCAAATCCGCTGTGCATCTAATTAAAAATGTCCTCAAAGTAGCTGGAGCCAAAATTCGGTGCGTTTCCGCTCACAGTCAATTTAATAATCGATCTAACATTATCACTTCTGTATATACTTGCTTATACACAGTAATACACGATTTAAAATTGTTCGTGTAATGCACGTGTAGGCCCAAGACAGCACGAATGTCATATTTGAAAACAGCAACCGTGTATTGTGTCGACACTCCAGATACTAACACGGTACTTGCTTAAATATATTATTCGACGAAAAACAACTTAACACATGGGCTAACTTACGTCAACCATTTTAAATGATCTCAACTTCACGTCAATCTTTGATATACATATATATGCCCTAAGAACTACTCTTATATTTGCAGATGGAGGAATATGCGTTGAAGATTCAAGCTGAAAAGGATCGACGGAAGAATGTTGTGAACCGAAAGCAAGCGATGCATCGCATCGTTCGGTATGTGTATTTTATTTTCAGTTTTTAATACAATTATTTATTCATTCAACTTGATTAAATCAGGTACAACTCGATTGCCGAGCGGTCGGTCGAGTACATTTTTAACTGTCTAAAGCGCCAAGCGATGGACAACGTGCCACTTCACTTGCAAGCAAAATATGACGCGTTAGAGTTGGACGACTACATGAAGTATACAACCTAATAATTTCCCTTTTATGTGAAAATGCAATGAAATAAATATATTTTTACGTAGGATGGTCAACACTGAAGAGGACGAGCACCCGTATTTAAAGTCCAATCCTACCGACCCGAGCTACGACGTAGGATGGGACAGCCTTACGTTGGGCTTGCTTTGGGTACTTTACTACAGTATATTCGTCACAAATATATTGTTCGTATTCAAGTTGCGTGAATAATTACATATATATATATTTATGTTTTGGTAGGTGGATCGCGCGCAGTTTACGAAAGCAATGCAATGTTTAAAGATGACCCCCGTCGATGTGAACGTGCTATTTAGTGTGTTTGATTTCGAACTGGAACACAAAATCGAGGTATTACGGTAATAAATTCCGAAGAATCATTTTATGAACTCACTTAGGTTGGCCAAGTGTGCCGAGAGATTCGAACGCTTCAGATGGCGAAACATAAAAAGCACTTTCCAGACCTCATGCTCGGGGGCAACCGCACCACGTTGCGCGAGCCGTGACCTGTCTATAAAACTATATATAAAACCTATGCACCATGATGATGTTGGTTCCAATGTGAAGTATCGTACTCCTACCAAATACTATTAACAGTAGTTGTTTAAAGCAATTGTATTGCCCGTTGTTACGACTGTAATAGTTTCAGATTTGTAGAGTTCACATGCATTCCATCTACTATTAATTCATGATTGCAAGTTCTGAGACCTCAGATATATTGCCAGAGGAGGGAGATGACCCCATCGTCTCAGGTGATTTACGTCGACCCATGCATGGTGGATGCTTCCGAACTACAAGTCCATGGCGCTATCACATGAACAATAATTGAACAAGATAAGATGTTCCTGTCAATTTCAAAAGTACCTGTGCAACGAAGAGTATATTTCATGTAGACTATGCAGTTATTACAAGAAGCGTGCATCTAAATGCACCTACCACCACTTTGAGTGATTAAAGAACACACCAACTTCAACGAAAGTGCATTTAATACAATCCATAAAACTCAAACTTGGGTAGTTGGTGTAGCCCTTGGGCGACCCTGTCAAGTAAAACGTGGTCGAGTCGGGTGTAGTGTACTTATTGACCTCGATTGGATTGACCAGTTGCACAGGTCCGATTTGGATGGGGCTGAAAAGCATAACAGGGGGCGTACTAGTAGTGGTTATCATGACAATGTCGAGTGGCTTGGTGGAAGCAGTTGTAAAATGGATTATAGGGAAGTTTTTGGTATTTTTGCTGGATTTTATTATTGGGTTGGTAATAAGGTGACCTCGTAAAGGTATACAGGCTAGCGTAGCGGTCGATACAAGTTACTTCTAACTCCATTAACCCGTCCAATAGGATTAAGCAAACAGCGACTCTGGTTCCTTCGCCGGGATTATTAATAATAATTAATCCTTGAGCCAATCAACACAAGTAACCGGTGACTTGAAACGTTCACGGACGGTACAGTAGGCAGTACTAGAGGACTCTTGGTATTAATACACCTTTTTTCTATTGACTTGGGACTGTTTTCAACGTTGTTGGCTTGGCGCTCATTCGAAAGAGCGATGTGTCCATTCATTTGGCCTTGTGGCCAATAGAATTGACACTTAGTGCCGCAACACCCTTTGACATGTAGAATCAATTCCAAGAAAATTTTTACCACACCCAACCAACGAACTCACGACATTGAACATGAATGATTTCGATTTCGCGGCTTTTAATAATAGGACTCTACGACAAGAACGGGTAGTCCGTGTAGCCCTGGGCCCCGCCCGAGTAAAAAGTCGCCTGGTCGGGGACGTTGAGTTCCGCGCCTTGTTCAAATCGGGCTGGCAAGTCTGGGTTGGCCAAAAAGGCCGTTCCGAACGCCACCGCGTCCGCCAGGCCTTTGGCAATCACGTCGTTGCCTTCGTCCTTGGTGTAGCCCATGTTGACAATCAGCACATTCTTGAAATGTTTGCGGAAAATCGGCACCACATCTCCCTTTTGAGCTTGGAAAAAGTCGGAGCGCATCACGTGCACATACGCCAAGTTGAATTGCTGGCTGATCTTGGCGATTTTCTCGCTCAAGGCTTCGGGGTTGGTGTCAATCTGCGAGTTGTAGCTGTTGAGGGGCGAGAAACGAATGCCGACCTTGTCCGCACCGACAGCTTTCGTGACAGCGTCCACGACTTCAGACAAGAACCGCGTCCGGTTTTCAATCGAGCCACCGTAGCCATCCGTTCGGTGGTTGGAGCTCGTTTTGAGGAACTGGTCAATCAAGTACCCGTTGGCCCCGTGGATTTCCACGCCGTCAAAGCCAGCCACATTGATCGCATTGGTCGCGGCAGTCGCGAATTGCTGCACGATCTCTGCAATTTCTGCCTCGTTCAGCTCTCGGGGCACGGCGTTCGCCGACTTGCCGAGCAACGTGTGCACGTCGCCTTCGATAGCAATGGCCGAAGGCGCCACGCCTTGCACTCCTCCATTGTTGTCTGGGTGCGATGCCCGGCCAGCGTGCCAGATTTGGATGAAAATCTTGCCGTTTTTCGCGTGCACGGCATCGGTGATGTCTTTCCAAGCCGCGAGTTGTTCGGGGGTGTATAGCCCGGGTTCACCCGCAAAGGCCGATGTATTGGGGGCAATCATGGTACATTCCGTGATGACCAAGCCAGCTGAAGCGCGTTGGGCGTAATACTCCTTCATGAGGGCGTTGGGAACATGGGTAGGGCCGGCGCGAGCGCGGGTGAGGGGCGCCAGCAGAATGCGGTTGGCTAGTTGGACCGAGCCAACTTTGATGGGACTGAAGAGGGTTTTGATGGACATGGTTGTTGGTATACTGAGTGGCGTTATAGCAAGTTGTGAAATGAGGTTGAAAACGACCGAGGTAGTACAAGGTGAACCGTCGCGGAAGTTCCTTCAAGTGGTTTGATGTTGAGCAATCCAAAGGCAATGGCAATCTTGACACGGATTGGTCGAAATAAGCCAATCAAAACCAAGGTTTGCCTCGACCACGTAATCGAAAGAACTCCACTGTAGTCGATTATGGACGAAATATCCTCAAAATTCGCTAAAATGTCCAAATATCGCATGTCGAACTGGCATTTACAGTAGCGAGGTGTCGTAAGTTACAAGCAAACCAGCTATCCTGTACGGAAAGTTCATCGTGCCTTTTCATTTCCTACGTAACGCTATTACATTATGTAATAGCACTAACTTACTACTACTGTAGTACTATTAATAGTATTAATAACAGCTTACCAACGTTACCTTTTATTTGTATGGATAACTTGGCGAATGCGACAATTCTATCCGACATTAGTCTTATTGGTTAAAATTTCAATACTTCGTACCTTTCATTGGTAGATGACTCTTCATTTTCAATACAAAGACCAAATGTCGTATGTTGGTTTTTATACAAGTCTCTGACGAGGTGTGGACATGAACCGTGAGGAGCAGCCTCTGCACGCAATACACGTGGCACACGACGTGGCTCCGGGTTCCACGTGTAATGCGTGCAGAGGCTGCAACATCGATTCGCACCCTAAAGTTGCGTTTGCGGACTGATCACAGTTCTTGCTGTGTCCCATGGAGGCATGGGGACAGAAACCCTGTCACCTCCAGCGATGTTGCAATCGCTTGCATTTCCAATGAGGAATCTAGAAAGTGTACAGTTAAAGACACCATAATGAAGATACGCGGTAAGTTGGACAAAAGAGCGTGGCGTGGTCGACGTGCTCTTGGGTCGCGTCACCAATTTCGAGTTAGTGACGCGACCCCTCGATTTAGTGGCCACACCAACATCAGTATGCTGCAGTGTACTGATCATTCGTGAGTTTACCATCGGCACACGTCCCAACTGTGGCACGACCATTTCGCCTGGTGACTGCACAGTACATCAACGTGATCACGGTGTCGGGGACGACAGGTTGGCGAGCTTAAGTGGTGTCGGCTCAGCGATGAATAGCCCCGAGTGATGTATAGTTTCACTAGCAAGGTCGATAAATATGTCGTATGTACTGTCCATCATAACTCCGATTTGCGACTTGATGTGTCAGTGAAGTTGTTACTAAAGAGGTTGTTTAACGCAACCACCGGAACTGACAAACTGCTTCGTGCCCCAGTCCAGTGGCCCTGGCAACACCTCGTTCCTACGGATTCACAGAGATGAACATGCCGTGTGGGTCGGTGGACGATTGTGCGGTCTGTCTAATGACGTTGTTTATGGATGTACATTATCCATACACCAAGCACAGCAGCTACTTCTCTTACTCGTACTAGTCAAAACTCGTCACCTTGTTTGTCGAGCTCTGCTCCACTTACGTGTATTTCTGTTCTTGGGATGCTGAGTTGAGGTCATGCGTTCCGGAGTATGTCGATACGACTGTGTTTTCAGCCAATAGCAAGCTGTATATGTTATATGTGAGTGATATGTTGCTCAACCGACAACTACATCGCCCAATCAGATTGCCTATAAAATATCTGACCAATCAAAATTCAATAATTTGTCGGTTATCCAATCACCGACTTCAAATTTGTCGGTTGGATGTCGGATGCCACCTATATGTATTATTAATATATGTGCAGTACAGTAAACTGGGAATTCATTCGCAAGCCGAGCATTCAACAATAGAGTGATTTTGCTACGTGATATTTCCTGAAAAGTTTCACGATGAAGCCTTTTGATCTGATTATATTGGGAATTTCTTGATGAATATATTCTGTCAGAATGTATACCTTTCCACACACAGTAGCCAATCAAAACACTTGAACATGCCTATAAATTACCAATTTCGCTTCATGGATGAATGGCATGGTCGGCACCAAACGTAGATGAGCGGTAGGTAGGACGCACTAGTAGATGAGCGAGGATATCGTAGGCGAGCAGTGGTATAGTGCCGAACGAAACCAGCCAACAGATACATCCTATCCCCCAGTGTTCATCGACCACCTCAAAGCGGTCATGTTTGAAGTTCAAACATGCACACTACAGCATATAGGGATGGTGCAAGGTCACAAACTGTACACATTGCACCTAATGCACTGAGTTGTTGATATGCCTAAAGATTGGGAGACGTGCCCTACCGATAGGTGCTCCAGAAGAGCCGCAACAACGCACACAGCGGCAGTTCTGCTTAAATTTGAATTTTTCCTATAGCAAAAGCACCTTCCCAACATGATATTCCCCGAAGGATTTTCAGGGAAATTGTATTTGAAAATTCGTGTGGATTCTTGGTGCAAAATCACTCTAATATCAAAGATTTTCCTTGTTTATGCTCCTAAATTTATGAAGTACGCTCGGAATGTCCCTCAGTGGTCCCACTGAGCTCATACCGGGTGACAATCACTGCATATCTCCCAAGGTAGTGATGCCCAATAATGACAATTTTGCTACTGTTATTTAACCAATATTTGGAAGGATTGAAACGTCGTTCGTGGTCAGTTTCATCAATCTCGCAACCAAACGCGAACCGCGACTGGCCAGGGTACTTCATCTTGGGGTAAGTGCTTGCTGGCTGGAGCGTAACGCAAACCACACACATGGTAAATCATCACCGCGTCCAAGAAGACAAGCTCCATACATATTGGTCGATCATCGGTGTACAGTGCTTACTTGCGTCTGAATCCGCACGTGTCAAGTATGACCGTTTCTAAACAAGGATGCACAGACGTAGACTCCCCATGGGCAAAGGCGAGGCTTGCATTGGCAAGACTGCTTGGTATTCGCCTTGGGGATTTGGATCTGGCCGGTGTCGCTTGGTCCGGTACCTACATGTATGAAGCCTTTGGTACCACCCAGATTGTTGTCTGGAAAGATACGCACAAGGTAGTCAAAGTTGGCCAACTTGGATTGGGAGGGAGCAAACGTTAAGTCCGGTTTCGAAGGGATGTGAATGATAACATCGACCTTGACAACGCCGAGTACGATGCGATCAGCAATCAGCTGAGATTCGACTGTTTCTCGCGCCAGCGCGACGTACTGTACGTGTCCAACGTAGGACACATCATGTTGAATGCAGGTCATGTACTGGGTAAGTGCACGGCGAACAGACTGACGCATCATGTCGTGCACGGTGCCACGATGGCGGAACCACTCGTGTTGAGGGGGCGAACCGAGGACGTCGACCAAATAAACAATCCAAGCAAGCCGACGTTATTCGAAACCAAGGGCTTGATCAGGGGCGGCTGTTCAATACGGTTGAGTTCATCATGCTGCTGGTGAAGGGATGTATAGGTTGTACTGTATACTCGGCTGGATTGGGGTTGCAAGGAGTTACTCAAGTGGTCAGTTTGAGAGGCTCGCACTTTTCTTGAGTACTTGATAGTCTTTGTAAAACCTCGGACCCGTCGTCGCTTCGGAATTTGAAAATGCCAAGTTTGCGCCAAGAAGATGGAGCATCCCGCCAAAATTTAACTGTAAATAGAACGATATATATTAATATCTGATTGTATGATTTTTTCTAAATCTCATGTGTCCTTCAGCAAAACCTATGTGGCTCTAAGCAATTCCTATGTGGTCCTCAGCAATTCTTATGATGTTATATTTAGAGATATTGAGGGGTTTACAAAATGTCTACGAAACCCTTATAATCTTATATTTCGCTTGCAGCGATAAAGGTATTTGTCTTTGCCGCACTTTAACTTTGCTGGAGCCGCGGACACAAGAACGATGAATGACGCGCATATTGTGGTTTCTGCCCATAGCCCACCAGCCGTTGGCACTCTACATCCTATCACTCTTGGGTCACTACGGAAAATGACAGATGGCGATATCCGGAAAGATACCAAAGAAGATCGTAGAGATCGAGCAAAAGATCGCAGGGTAGTGATAAGGATCTTCACTTCCAAATACAAATTACGTTGGATCGACTACCTTCTTCAAGACAAACAAGCCAAGAAAGTCATTAGCGCATGTATCAAAGGTTATACTTCTTGGGTTTCCACTTTTCGGCGCATGCGCTTTCGGCGCATCCGGATAAAACATCCGGATATGGGTTTCGGGGTGAGTTTGTAGTACCGGTACAAACAACTAACTATTACTACGTAGTAATAGTAAGTACATAACATACTACTAGTACGTAGTACTTCATATAGTATAAACTTGTGGTCCTCACACGTCGTTCAGTGGTGCTCACGAGACTATAAAGCTTACTAGCTATAGTATTATGGTACTAGTACTTCCACATCATTCACTTTGTCACGAGGTTCTAAGGCTCAGTAGTTTGAATCTAGCGTGAAGGTGCTGCCATGTCATCTACGATGCACGGGCGTCATGGTGGTGGTGTTGAGAGACTTTGAAGCTTAGTAGTTAGATTGTAATGTTCGGCGGGTGGTGGTGCCACGTCATCCACGATACATGGGCGTCATGGTGATGTTGTGGAGAGACTCTGAAGCTTAGCAGTTAGATTGTAATGTTCGGGTGGTGCTGCCACGTCATCAACGATGTACGAGCATCATGGTGGTGGTGTCGACATACTCTGACGCTTATTAGTTAGTTTGTGGTGTTATTGTACTGCCACGTCATCTACGTTGAACGGGCGTCATGAGAGTGGTGTTGAGATACTATGAAGCTTAGCAGTTAGATTGTAATGTTGTGGTGGTGCCACGTCATCCACGATACATGGGCGTCATGGTGATGTTGTGGAGAGACTCTGAAGCTTAGCAGTTAGATTGTAATGTTCGGGTGGTGCTGCCACGTCATCAACGATGTACGAGCATCATGGTGGTGGTGTCGACATACTCTGACGCTTATTAGTTAGTTTGTGGTGTTGTTGTACTGCTACGTCATCTACGTTGAACGGGCGTCATGAGAGTGGTGTTGAGATACTATGAAGCTTAGCAGTTAGATTGTAATGTTGTGGTGGTGCCACGTCATCCACGATACATGGGCGTCATGGTGATGTTGTGGA